ACGAAAGGCTCCAATGGAAGAATTCTACGAACCCAAGCCCCTCTCACAGCAGACTGGCACGAACTAGCACCACAAAAGGCACAGCAGACAACCGCCCCTTTTTTTTGGGCCACGATGGGAAGAATTCGAGGGTGAAAGAAAAAAGTTCGCACGACGACTGGCACCAGCGACAATAAACAATACCATTCGCGGTCAGTTCGCAGTTCATCCTTCCTCCCTGGCTCTCGAATGGTGCTGCCTGGGTTCGGCCTCGTCGGCGCGGCGTCTGCCGGCATTTGCATCATCTCGCCGACTCCTGTCCGGTGGCAGCGGCGCGTCGTGCAAAAGCTGTCCTGATGCACAACCGGAACTGCAACACTACGACCCGGGGTCACACACACGGGGCGCGTGTGTTTTCAGATCTCGAGCATCGTCCACATTACCCGAATCCCACGGCCGCGGCCCGACAAGCATGGGGGCGCATACTGTACTTATTTTGGCAGTGCCGGGCCCGAGCTCAGCATGCATCTTTGTATACCTCGAGGTACAGAATTTAAGAATCCCCACAACACCAGCCAGCGCGCCGGCAGTCCGACTCTGAGAAGGCGGGCCGCGACTCCTCCTCCGGCTCCACCAGCGTCATCTTCATCGCCGCTTCCACAAGCCACTGCGGAGTGTCGTCCTCGAGCTCTATCCCCGCCGCCGCCCTGCTGCAGCGGATGGCTTCAACGTGCGCAAGCGCGACGAGCCACTCTTCGTCAGTCAAGCTGTTCTTGTGCGCGAGCACCGCGCGAACGGCATCGCCGAGGCCGTCCAGTAGCCGAGCCGAGTCTCCGGCCATACGATGTGTCAGCAAGGGCGAATATCTAGATAGGAACTCCTGATACTTGGGCGAACGCCCGACGCCCTTGTCGCCTCCACCTCCTGCGAGCGCCGTTGATGCTCCCGCCACAGACGGGTCGCCAAGCAGATTGCGGTCGTCCTCCGCCGTCACTTTTTCGCCGTCATCGCTGCCGAGCCCGCGCATCAAAATCGAGGCTGGACTGCTCCGGGTCTCGCCCTGCACCGGCAACCCCTCCTCTCCCTTTGGGTGGTATGCTGGCGCCTCCTCGCCATTCGGCTGCTCATCCGTGACTTCGTCGTCGAGGAACGGGTCCATGGCGGTATTAAAGGTTAGACACCCGTCACGGATCACAGGGCCAGTGTGACGGCGGTGTCGCAGCTTTCAGCTTGGGGCGAATGCGAATGCGGGCCCGTCCGACTTCACAACTCGTCCCGTCGTGCGTCCTTCACAGATCATGTATGAGAGAAAAATATTTTTTCTTTCATGTTGGGTCTCATCTGCCTCTACTTCGCCCCCCCCCCCCCCCACAAAACAAGAATGGCAACCATTTAAGATTCATTCAAGCCCCCTGACAAGGATCTGACTGGGTTTCCCCCTCCTAACTACCAGGAGATCTAACTAAAACCAAAAAGCATCCTGGGGGGGGCCCCCCATTTAAACATCCCAACCAAACAAAAAAATCTCTTCACTCTTCTACATCGATCTCCCCGAGGAATTCCATTCCCGACGTACAAATGGAGCGGGCCTGGAGCCCCATCATGTTCTCTGTTTCCCAAAAAAAGCATACCTGCAGCGGGCAAAAAAAAAAAGTCCGCTTGCCCGAACTCTCACTCAAAAACGCACGCGCCGGGG